CGATTAGTTTTCGAAAATGTTTTATACCACAATGCCCATAAAATATCAATATTCAAATATTGACATATACCTATATCGTTAGATTTTATAGAATGTTATCAAGTGTTTAACTTATCTGTGGGTATGTGTACATTTTATTTACATTTTGCCACCGCAAATATACAACTCTGACATGGTTGAGCTAAACTAACTGTTACATGTATGTTTGATTAAGAAGACACATTAGTTTTATAAACTGATGTGTAAGCAGTTCAGTAATTGATAGTGAAACTTGTTTCTTAATTTTTGACTTAACATTTGCTTGTTTATAAAATAAATTGACCAATAATGAAAATAAGACTTGGTGCGTTTAACGCGTTTCTCTTAATAAACATTATGAGGAACGTTCAAACTTGGTTGTATAACTACTTGAATACGTGAAAATCGATATCAATTAAAGGAAACAGTAGATAATTGATGTTCAAATAAATAAATAAATAAATACATTAAGAACATTGAAATAACAATGGAGCAAAACAAATAGTCTAAATGGTAAGGTATGTATGCATCAAAAGCCACGTATTAACACTCAGTCAACAAAATTCAAAAGAGAAAACAAACTGCCTGATTTATGCAAAAACAATAATTATAGTGAAACATATATGTCATACAGGAATAAAGACCACTACTGCAGTACAGAATCCTGACTTCTGACTTAAAACATGGGTTTTGACATGTTTGCGGGCACTCAGCTGTCCAACCAACTTAGAACATTGCTGTGCGTGCATAACATGATTACAGTTAGTAAAGACTTGACTAAGCACATCCAACTGAAGATTAAAAAACTTACAAAAAGAAACAAACTACCAATCTAAGACGGCTCCTAGTTACTGAAATATTGTTGAAAGTCAATAACATATATTTTTAAAAGATATGAGCAAATCAAACCTAATACTGATAAATCAGCAAGTAAAATACGGATGACTTCGACCTGTTGATATAAATCATGAGTTAATATCGCGTTTCCGCCCGGTCCAATACCGAAAAAGCCGTATTGGACGTTCACTTCCTGTTTCTTTTTTTACGCATTATCTAACTTTGGCCGTATCATCATGCACATGATGCATAAGATACATTTGTATCATTTTTGGTAAAATAAAATAACACAAAAAAGTTTTAATGATATTCTGTGTTTTAAAACTCTTTAAAGCGGAAATTTCCACAGTCTTTACGAGTAACATTTTCGATTATTATCTTTGTTTCATTCCGTTGATCAATCATCAGAACGCAGACGTTAAAGAGTACGGATAGTTAAAATGTCTGATTTATTCTTCCCAGCTACTTTATATTTGGCAGATAAAAATATTTGAATTTGCATCGATTAAGTACTTGCACGAGAAATCACAAATTTCATGAATGTTGACACAAATCAATCTTGACTGCAAAAAGACAAGTTTAAAATATGAATGTCTGTATATTCTTTATGGTAAGTTTAATCGAAGAATTATAATCATTTCATAAAAGTGTTATGAATTGGCTATTTCTGTATTGTCCCTGTTATAGATTTTCGATCAGCTGTATTGGTTCACGACTCGATCGAGTCTCGGGGCTAATACAGCTTCACTCGAATCTATAAGAGGAACAGTACAGAAATAGCCAGTTAACAACACAGTAATAGATAAATTATGTCTGCCAAAAGCACAACGTTTTGCAGTGCCAACATATGAGCGTTATACGACAAAGAAGTAGGACTAATACGTTTTAATAGCTGCATACGGTACCGATTTTACTGCACCAGTTGGCCCAGATGCTCATTTCGACAAGTGATACTTGAGGCAAAAACATTTGAAAAATATAACACTTATCAAAGAAACAAGTAGATAGTAAACCAAAAAAGAACAAATAACATAACCAAAGCCGGGCAAGGAACCAGAGCTTTCCATGAGAGAGATACATTTCCTTAATTATTTTTCTAAAATTTTTGTTACAGCAAATTTAAGTGACACAAACATCCGCGTTTTCATTTTAGCACTGGCTACTGGGCTGGTGATACCCTCAGGGACTTACAGTCCACAAGCAGAGGTATCGAAACAGCGGTACAAATAACTTAAACGGTTACAATTTTACTGTATTTCTTTATGGAGTATCCAGTCTGAAATTGAGATTTCTAGATTTGAAATATTCAAATCGGATAATAATAATGTTCTATCAAAATTGATTTAAAACTTCTTTTGGAAATTTTTGAAGTATCATAGAACTCTTGAATATTAAATGCGAAAATAATATAAAGGACAAAGATAAATATTGTAATTATTTTCAATCAAATGGCGTTAAATAGATCATTACTGTTTTAGGCCATAACAGTGATTTATGACAAAAAAGAACAAGTCTGTTATAAGGGACGCAATTGGTGCCCATAGGAATACCTTAAACCTGTCGATAAACTTTATTGCTGAAACGTTCATGTGTGTAGGCAAGCACAATGATGAAACTTTGGATTCGTGGTGTCATCTAATTATGATGTCATCTACGGATAGTCACGTTATATAAATAGTCATTTATCAAGAAATTTGACCGGAAGTAACACGACTAGTAATGTTTACTTTGCATGCCTGGCAACTAGTACAGTAAGCAGAAGAGACCATTAGCTAGATATTACTGCACATGCGTGACTGCAAATTACACCACCTATAAGGGAATTGGAGTTGACGGAGAATTTCCTGCAATTTTGGATAGGAAGTCTGGCTACGAAACTGATAGGATTAGATTAATATGAAAACGGGTTCTATATTGTCCGCGTTCTTATGCTGGTCAAGGAATTGGAAGGTTCCCATTCTGAATGAGTATTCTTTCTGAGTGGCGGAAAATAAAGAGTGCCTCCCAGTCATAAATGTACATAAATTCAGTTCGGTTTCGTGATAAATGACTTCACTTCGCTTGATAACGACAAGAATCCTTAAGTAAATTCACCGCTATATGACCTGAACTATACTTGTAAACTAGTAATTTGTATGAGTTGCTAAAATCAAGGAAAGGGTTTCGGACGCACGGAATTAATAAAGTGGTATTTTCATTTAAAGAAATTGGCAATCAGTCAACCGAAAAGGCATGCGCTGAGCGAGAATGAAAATGAAGTCGTTTTTGAGTTAGCATGTGACAGCTTCTACCGGTTCCAAGACTTCTATTGACCCGTGCGCAAACCAAATTTCTCTTTGCGTGTCTTCAAAGTTAAACATGACGTCAATCAATTTGCTATCATCAGGAGAATTATAGGGATGATCAGATTTACACACTGCATTTAACCGTTGGGTTGTGACACAGGAAATTACAATTCTAACAACAGTTGACATTTGACATTTGTTTTAAGTCCTTCAAACCATTTAAATATTTCCATCATCAAAACTTTAGAATACAAATTTATACTCCGAATTCTTTTAATCATAAAGGAAACAAATTAGCACCGCTTTTCCCATTAAAGATGAAATGAATCCATTTTTGAGAAAAAAAAAATGAATTATCAAGATTAAAAATGACTTGCCCAGCATTTCAGCCAGCTTGAGTTGTTAAGTTCAAAATAACACAAAAGTTAATTTGATTAAAAAAATAGAAGTCTCTAAGGATATTGTTCCCGGATTTTGATTTAATGTATTTGGATGAAAGTTAAAGTTGCTTGATGTGATGCTGTGATAGGTATCTTCACAGTGTTCCTTTCCAAACGAATTCATCTAGTTGTTAACTACGGTGGTAAGAACTTGCTACTGTTGTCTCAATTTTATGGTTCAGGGATCATGTTTAGGTTGAAATTTTATTTTAATTTTGATTGTAAGGGAATATACAAACGCAAATTAAATTCAGCAAGTAAATACATAAAGAACCATTTAACTCATAGATCCATAGGATTTTGCTAAAGCATAATAAACTCAAATTATTGCTGGTTTGACAATATGTGTTATTTTCGATGAACATTATATAATCATTTGTCTTATGACATTTTCCTAAAATATATATTATTACATAATAATACAACTGTCAATCCAAAGTCAAACTCGAACGATCTATGTTTTGCACGCGAAGTTTTCGCGTTTCGGAACAACTCCAATTACACTTATTGCATCCTTGTCTTTCAAAATAAAAATGGCGGAAAACATTATCTGTAGACTGATATATATTGCAAAGTTGACATTGATAAGAACGCAATTTTGAGTATACTTGTAAAGTACGAGACAACGAGTTCAATGATAAAACAAGGGTCAATTCTACGAAAAAAATTAGAATTAAAACAGTTTGGAAAGGGCAAAATCCAAATACTTATTATATAGTTAGTTCGGACGAGGTAGAATAAATGACGGAAACAGATTATATTAAAATTAGTAAGAAAAGTAGAAAAAATAACCATATTACACTAGCAAATATTAGTTTTGTCATTCATATATGCATAAGTGCATCATACTGTTACCTTTCATTGCAACAACACAAGTTTATTTGAACAAATAATATAAATACTTGATATATCTATTAATAGATAATAAAAGAGTAATTTCATGAATATTTTAGAATATCGTTCCTCTCACAGTGTTATATTACACTCGCAAGGTGGTGCGAGATGACACACTGCTTTGAAAGTAGTCCTCTATATTTATGCAATAACCCTATCAGATTAATGCACTGCATGGGTGTCAAACTATACAGGTTTGTCTGAAATATCAAAAGAAAACATTAATATACAAAACGGATATCGCACAGCTATCATTTGAACATTGCATTTCAAAAAGGTGTGGTTTGTTGAATTAACCTAGAAAATATCTCCCACTGGTTTCATAAATCGGTCAAATTTATTAGTGCAATATAGTTGGCCTTCATTGTACATGTTGAAATAAAATACAAGGTATGCGGAAATATTTTTCATGAATTATAATGATTTTGTGCAAATTATAAAATCTTTTGTATATAGTTCCTTATAATTATGCGTATTCATACATAAATTTTATTTTAAATTTTAAAACTTCCTCCTTGTGCTTCATATTATCAAGCTGCAATTAGTTTGGCTTAACAGCCAATTCAGATCGATACATTCCAGGTATGTTAATTATATTTATCATGAACGCTTTTTATCGTTTTCGTTTACCTGCAAAGCTTACATCACAGTGATTACACATAATTAATTCGGTAACGTTTGGAACAACCATCAATCAGAATAACGATAAACTGTTTTAAACTGCCGTTTAACATTAAGCAGTGTATGTCAATTATCATTCAACCAATCAAGAAAATACAACTAACAAATTGAAGCAGAAACAATTGCATTATTTCAATAGGAAAGATAATAATGAGAATTTTTTTTACACCGCTGCATTCTATATGTTCCTGTCCTAATTTATGAGCATGTAGTTTAGTTGGTGTAGTTGGTTTCGCTTTGTATTTTTTTTTCGCTTGTTGTTATGTACAAAAATCAGGGCTTCGTTCTTCTTTTGAATTGTTTTACATGGAACGGGGACCCAATTATTTCCCCCAATAATTCAGTGCAATTTTATCCAAATTGAGGGGCAGATTTTTTTATTCCCAATATTAGACTGCAAAATTTCAGTTACTTTCTCATACTAGTAGCCCCTTCATGGTTTCTTGGTAAACTTTTAGAGGATCATGACCAGCATTTAAGAGAGCAATACTGTTTTGAGTATTAATGGGGTTATTTTGTTAACTTCTCGGTTAAAATCGAAAATAAAATTTGGACCATTTACTCGGACACTCATCCACCTTATACATTTCAGAATCACTTAAAAATATAACAGAAGTTGAATGTTTGATAAATACCCTTTAGATACACTACAATTTTAAGCATCTTTACATATTTTTCATCTCGGTACAATATCCCATTTAAAAAATGGTAGATTTATAAAGAGACTTCATTCGTGGGTACTGGACTGGGATCCTATTCCACATTGTGTCATGTCAGGGCCTTTTATTGCTTAGTTTATACTTAAATATCTGATTTTACACAGATTGTGAAAAATTTGAAGACAGACAAAAGTCATGCCACCATCACTCAATTTCTTAATGAACAAATACATTTAGGCTTCATGCCTAGAGATCTATAATAGCACATTACCATCATTGACGGAAAATTGCAGTCCTGCCACAATCATGTCACATGAGAATAATTTCTATCTCGGAGGTTTCAATTCTCATGTCCGGTTACGTAACGGGTAAGTTTGAATTCTAGAAATGAGCTCCGTCTTCTGAAGTCTGTTAATGCCACAAATACATTCAAATTCAGGCGCTTTCTGATTGCAAACTACATTTCCTTTTTCCCATATACGATAATAGTAGGTTTTTTTTCGAGATAAATACTAAAGAAAGTTGGTTTTCAGATATTTTTAGTCCAACCAATGTAGGTTGTCGTTGCTTTTCTTTACGCAATCTTTACCTATCCTCCTTGACTACCTCATTTAAACATACACGTCACAGTATTTTTAGTGCATTTATGACAAAATCAAATATATCATTTTGCGTTTGGTATATGGGACATTCAACGAGATGTATAGTAATAATAAATACTGGATGGACACAAAGACCAATCAGGATAAACCATTCTCTTATTCTTATTATCATGTTTTCGTCGTTTCAATGGCTACTCTTATGGTACTCAATGGTTTATTGTAACATTCACGTCTGCGTTCTTAACTTTGAATATCCTTGATGTTTATCGCTATTTTCTAATATGTGCTCAGAGGGAGTCCAAATGTAAATGCCGTTGTTTTTTTTTCCTTATTTGTGTATCCAAAAGGAACTGATGGCTTTATCAGGTACCTTCCTTTTCATGTTTACGAGGGGAGACAATTTAGTTTTTCCTATGTTTCTTTTCTTGTATTTGTTCAAGAGGAAGGCGTTGTTTTAGGTGGTCATGATTATGTTGAGAGTTACTGTTTATGCTGTTTTTGCAAATCGCACAAATATTTTCTCTTCCTTTTTGTGATTTTGTTACGAAAGGGCTTCTGGGTACTCGAGTCACAATGTTGAGGTTTTGTAACTGCCACTGCTGTTCTTACTTTCGAATAGGATCAGGCTGATTTCAAAATGGTACTTGGTTGCCCCACTCGTGTCAATCTAACTATTTTGGTTGTTTCAGGCTTTAAATGCTGCTGTAAATCCGGTTGGTTTGAGTATTTCTTCCGGTTCAAGGATCGCTATGGCGACACTACATGTCAAAACCGAGATAAACAGTTATATTTCGTCGGGAATATAAATTAAGGAATAGACCGTAGGAATATCAAACAGAGTTTTTCAACTCTCATCATATAAACTGACGATAAACATGAAGCAATTAGTTAATAATCAGAAGAGCCCGAAACAACTCGAAAAATATCGGGAACATCTTGATGCAACTCTAGAAATATCGGGATATGTCTTGAGTAACTCGTTAAAATATCAGGAGCAGCTTGGAATCGTCTTCAAAAATATCTGAATTATCTAGAAACCTATTGAGAGCATATTGTAGCAAACTGAAAAATATTTGGAACGGCCTGGAGCATCTTAAAAAATATAAAGAGCAACTTTATATCGGGAACAGACAATGAGCAGTATTGAGCAACAAAAAACATCGGGAGCAGCCTTGATGTTTGCAAATAAAGGGAGATCCAACTAGGTCCAAATACTTGCCATTGTTGTTGAAAATTGTACTACTTCAAAAAAATAAGAAAAACTCGTTGTCGACCTTCATTCAAACAATCCAATCCTTAAACAGCAGCAACATAAACAATATGCAACCCTTGAGCAGCAGCAGCAGCAGCAGCAGCAGTACCAGCAGCGGCAGCATTTGAAAGAAGTTCGAAATCATAAAAAGAGTTAAATGAACACGATTGCACCAAACAAAACTCGTTACAGAATTAACAAATCCTATTCCGAAGCAGAAGCAATATTCAATCCTCCAGTAGCAACAGCAGCACAAAAATTTTAAAATAAAAACTTGAAAACGCAAGAACATACAAAAGCCGTTTTTAAACTCCCGAAAATATAGAGCAAAGCTCTTAAGGCATCTCCAAAAATAGCGTGGACATTTTTTTCAACATAGCCATTAACTCTACAACAAATCAAACTTAATCTGTTTGAATAATTATACGCTGTCAGCTCCCTTTTGACACACACATAAGGTACACAAGGTAATGGTTTAGAATGTGAATCTTTGAGAAAGCACCCAATATGGAAGTTGAAACTTTCTCTTACTCCACCAAGTATTTTTTGCACAAATTTTTTCAGTGTCTGGTGTGGTAATAGAGGGTTGAATGTTCGGTGATAACGGTGGGCAAAAATTGTACAAGTTCTGTACCCAAGCGCCTGTGTCAACTACAACACATTTTTTTGTTTGCGTTTTTGTTGAAATTATTTGTATGTTTGTTTGAGTTTTATGTCAGTTGTGTTGAATATCTGTGATGTATGTTCACAGAGTTTTGGCTGCTGGATCCCCATCATTGTCACATAAATGAATTTGGTAACCTTTTGATTAAGTTTATGTAAAGGATCGATAAGTTTACCCTGATCGTTTCTAAGTTTTCGGGCGCGGTAAACAACATCTCTGTAAAAAATGAGAATGTGCTATCTCGTTTGAAATGAGGTACATTCAAACTTCAAAACCAAATCTTTATATCTATGAAAGAATTTAGTAAAGGTTTTAAGTAATTTGTTGTAACGAAATCCCTGATTTAATAATTTACCAGTAATACATAGATTACGTTCATTGAACTCTAAAAGGCACAACAGACACGGGCATAGCGAACGAGTTGTGATATATAAACACCGTAAGATGGTGCCAAAGGAACATCACCGTACAAAAAAGGAAAATTAACAATAGGGAACGATAAATCGTCTCTTTTGTCGTAAATTTTAGTGTAGAGTTTCATGTCTGTTTGGGTTACTCGCCCAATTATGTCAATACAACTAAAAAAATCTGTTATACAAGTGGGGGCTTTAGCTAGCTATTAAACCAGGTTTAATGCACCATTTTCTTTTGAATATGGCTGTACCAAGTCAGGAATATAACAGTTGTTTTTCACTCGTGCAGTTGGTTGATAACGTTGGATTTCATCAGTTTTTTATGCACATCCCCTTTTTGAATTTACCTGAGAGTTTGGTATTTTTGTTATAATTTTTGTACTTTTGAAACCTTAAAAAAAACATAAAGATAAATATACATGTTCTACACATCTAAAACTTTCCAAACGAAAAAGTATCGGAAAATTTTTCAGTGCACTCCTATTCTCAAAAAGGTGGTTCAAAGATTTCCGGGGCATGCTTTTACAATATTAGCATGAAAACCTTCATTACCATCTCTGTGACACGTGACTCTGTATCACACATGCGCAGTTCTTCCTTCCAGTCGCACAATATCTAGTTACACAGACATAAAATTCATTTCCGTTTCCGCAATGTATAATGTCATATACGACGTCTTTTCCAGCTGATGACGTCACAATGCTCAGAGGTTATTTTTGGTTGAATATTCCTATTTGTGAGCATTTCATTGCAGATATTATGACAATGTTTCCTTCTTTATTTCAAATTGTCTTTGAATTTTTTATTTTCTCTCCACTAGAACGTGCCATATGACATCTGCAAATCGCAATTCAAAAGAAATTTTAAACTAAAAGAAAATATGCTGAAATGTCATATCATTAAAAAATAAACTATTAATAACTGCATGTATCTTATTTTTGTTTTATAACTAGTTGATGTAATATATTTTTTCTTACAGCAATTTCTTTTAACAAAGCATGGGATTGGTAATTCTTTGTGCAATGCTGTTGACCACACACTTTCGTTGTCAAACCATAGATCAGCATGACACAGTATGTTCTTTCAACTCTAAGTGCAGATGTTGGACTGATCAGCATTTGCGGCATGTTGATTGCTCAAATGCTAACATGACAGATATACCAAACTTCCCACCAGAAACAGATATTCTCAATATAAATTCTAACTATATTGAGTTTCTGCAGAATGACACATTTGAAAATTTAACAAATTTATTGGAGCTGGATTTGTCACATAATAAACTGATACGTATAGAGGCAAATGCGTTTATAGGGCTTGGTAAATTAGAGAAACTTTCGCTCGAAGCCAATCGCTTGAATTATACCGAAGAGTCGTTTGATACAACTGTATTAAATCCATTGCAATCGCTCACGTTATTAAATGTGAAACATCAAGAAATACTAAACATTCTACCTGGTGATATGATTCGAAAACTTCATTCTTTACGAAATTTGGAAACTGATCTTATTTCATCAACAGAAGGCATAGCCTTCGGGAAAGAGTTTTCGTACCTTGCACACCTCACACTATTGAAGGCAGGGAAGTGCAAACTGGAAATGGTCAACAATAATACGTTTATATATTTACCCTTCTTGGAAATAATACATTTGTCTGAGTGCATAATAACGCAGTTTGGAAAGGGGTGTATTTTTTGTCACTTAAATAATTTCAAATATCTCGATATATCTAAAGTTGTATGTGATTTTACCTCCTTCAAATTTTTAGCACTTGATTTTAAAGAGACAAAAATAAAAAAGATAAATATGTCAGAAACATTTTATAACACAGCATACCCCCCTTTCCATATGTTTGATTATTTAAAAAATAGTGGTATTACCGAAATTTATATGAACAAAAACGTCTTTGTAGGTTCGCATACAGGCACTACTGGAAATATACCGAGCACACTTAAAATTTTAGATTTTTCGGAGAATTTTCTAACCTTAGTCGTTTTTCAGATGCGTGATCTGCTAACGTTGAATTTAAGACAAAATCAGTTGGGAAAAATGTTAGAAAAGGGTGGCTACAAAACTCCAGGACCAATCGCATTGCAAAACGTTGACCTATCACAAAACGGTATAAACGCTTTGTTATTTCAGGTGTTTGATGGCCATTGTAATGTTCAAACAATGAATCTCAGTGACAACGCATTAACAGATTTTACTCCGGATATTTCGGAAATGGTTAAGCTAAGATTTCTTGATTTATCGAAAAACAAGATTAAGAAATTTTCCAACGTCATGACAATGCAAAATATTTCAAGAATAGCTAAAAAGACCAATCTAAAAATAGATTTGTCAAAAAATATTTTAGATTGTAGCTGTGCGTCCTTTGCATTTATTGAATGGATGCACGAAAACCATGGTATTTTTAATGATATCCATTCATATAAATGTAAAGCGGAAAACGGAACTTTTATGATTTTGAATCGACTTCAACATATTGTGTCCATGCTAAAAAAAGACTGTGAAACGTACACTGTCTTGATAATTTGTATTTCCTTGGCAATAGTCACTGCTCTTTTAATTCTATCGGGCGGATTGTTATACCGATATCGTTGGAGGTTGCGTTATGTGTACTATATGACAAGAAATAGATACAAGCGATACAAACAAATTGAAGAAAATAATGATTACAAATACAATGCTTTCATTTCCTATGCTGACGAGGAAGCAGCTTTTGTTAAAAACGAATGCATTCCTGAATTAGAAGGAAACAGAAATTTAAGTCTGTGTATACATCATCGTGACTTCGTTGCTGGAGAAGATATCACCCAAAATATAACGAATGGAATACACGATAGTAACAAAACAATCTGCATTGTCACTCAATCTTTTTTAGATTCATATTATTGCATGTTTGAATTTAACATGGCTAAAATGGAGAGTATTTATTCGCGAGAAGGACAGAACATTTTATTTCTTGTATTTTATGAAAATATTCCGTCGAAAAATCTTCCTTTGGTGATGCTGGAGGTGGTACAACAGCAGTCTTACATTGAATATCCAAGCGACGCTAACGAAAGAGTTGTGTTTTGGGAGAATATCAAACAAGCAATCGAATAGTTTATCAAAACAATAGTTTGTGTTCATTGTGTGAGTTTAAGTATCAAATGAAAATTTGGTCTTTGAAGGATATTATGCCTGCAATAAAATCCTTCAACGACCAAAGTTTAATAACATATAGCTTAGTCTATTCGAGATTATACACCGTGCACTTTTCGAAATCAAATCAATTCTTCTCCTTTCGATGACCGAGAACATAAACCTTAAAATACTTTCGCTCAAATATTCAATTCATCTTACTCTTTCGTTTAGTGTATTTACTTACAAAATGTATATATTTTCATGTGCGTAAAAAAAAATATGTAATTCCTGTTTTATTCTTTCGGACCAACGTTTGTTCGAATGAAACATTGAACATGTTTTTATATTTGTGTAAACATGAATATCTAGATCTGGTTTACCCTGGGAACAATATATCCAATATATATGTTCCTGATTTACCCGGAGCGCCTTATAGATAAATATTAGTTTTATTATGGTAAAAGATAATGTTAGGGTGGTACCTAACACTACAGGGAGATAACTCTGTAAAAATCAGCTAAACGTTTTAACTACGTTGTATTGTTAAGGAAATATTAAGCTTCTCAATGATCAAAATTAGTGTTTGTCAAACTGCTAGATAACCAATGAAATTTTTCTGATAAAGTGGTTGGTTCAAATTTTTTGAATTTTTTATATTTTTGTCAAAGGGTCAAAGTTAACATTTTGTCAAAATTTTATAAAAATTAAACGAGCCAAATTAATATTAGTCAAGGTGTTGGGTACCACCTTAAATTTATAAAATAATGACGCTTCAACATGAAACATTACAAATATTTATCAGATTTGTTTTATAGCCTTTACCTCTACTCTCTTGAAATTGCACACCCGTTTATATTGTCGAGAAATCTTACAGAAGAAAAAAAAAACCACTCAGATCTGTGATTGTTCCCTAATTTTGGACATTTTGACTTTTTATGTACATTATTTCGAAATTGTTATTTGTGTTTCAATATTTTCGAACAAATAAAACGATGTATATTTCAAAAGTCATTGAGTTCTTGTACATATTATAAATTCCATTTTATTTAGGATTGTGAAATCAATTTCTGCTTCAAATTGTATGTAAAAATTCATACGTACAGTGTTGTTTCAAGCATACCAGTTAATTCGTGCTCTTACCCGCAAATATTAATATCGTATGGAGTCTGATTTACCAATACATATGAAACAATAAACATATTTCCGACTATAATCACACAAAATAATTAACAAAAAAAAAAAAAAGAAACAAAGTATCAACCTAAAAGAAATCGAAATGTAGTTCAAAGTCAATTGCAATTATAAGTAATAGATAAACTATGTTTTTTTAAAGATTCAAGTATTCAGGTTTATTGTAATTTTTGTCTGCGAGTGAAAACTTCTTATAATCTGACAGACTGTGTGCGTACTCAAAAAGTACGCGTACGGTCTGGACCGGTGTTGTGGATCATAACAGACACTGAATGGATTTATTTCTTGTTTTATAGAATTTGCAAAGGAAATTTCAATGTCAAATATAGGCTCCAACATATGTCAGTGTTTCCAGCATATACATAAAGAGAACGCTATGTTGGAGTTTCTTGTGGGTGTACAAATGTTTACTTAAAAATACAAAAAGAGCACCATAGCCAGAAAATTTTTCAGAAATGTTGTCTGTTTCATTGATAGAAAATCGCAATACAAAGATCAAATTTATGGGTATCAAAATAATATACTATAATCTTTTCATTTATCAAAAAATATAATTCAAGCTGATAAAAAATACCTTCAAAAAACAAAAATCCGTGATTTTTCTTAGATCTTTATAAAATCGGGAGTAAAAAAAAAGCGAATTGATTATTAGATAATAAAAAAAAAATTGTGTGGACTTTATCGGTGTTTTTTTATGGACTTAAGCGGAACTTGTTATTGTGGACTTTTACGGTGTTTTTTTGTGGACTTTAGCGGAGGTCATTTTGTGGACTTTAGCGGAAAAATTGTGGACTTTAGCGGAAAAATTGTGGACTTTAACGGCGTTGTGGACTATAGCGGAAATTTGTTGTGGACTTTAGCGGTGTTGTGGGCTTTAGAGGAATTGTGGACTTTAACGGTGCCACATACATGTTTCTGATAAAATCATTTCTTGTACCCCTCCATCAATTTTCTCAGCTTTTTGGCTAATGAGACTGACTTGATTTGTATTAAATTAAATAAAAAAAATTACTCAAAAACTACTTATTGTAAATACACATTTTTTTCACAGAGTTAAGCTTGTTATCAAATTTTTAAAATTCATTGATATTTTCTGCATGTATCACATGTTTTGGAAATAATTCCAAAACGAGATTTCAACGATAAATACTGTGCATTCTTATTCCTATTGTCATTATAAGCACGGTCCATAAATGTTCAAATTAAACTTAAAAGAGTTGGATATTTTTACTTTTATCAATACAAGACGTCTCCGAATTTTGTATAACTTTCATTTCTTTTTTCATGAAATTAACTATCTTATGAAATATTTCGCAACCGAGATGAACAAATGACGTGTATTTAGCATATGCCTTAATTAATTAATATAATGATATTAGGAGGCTTTTTATAACTTGTAAATGCAAATATCAAAAGATTTCTGTATTCATTACAATTTTAGTATCTTTATAAAAAAAAATCACTGATATTCTGAAGTGTTAACAACTTTCAAAGATTCAATGACAATTTATTTCTATTCCAATCCTTTAAAGTTTAGTTTAGTCTTGGGAGTTTAAGCATTACAAAATTCAATAAACAACATAATTGTAGAACCACATAAGTGATCGTAATTGTATACCCTGAGAGTTGACAAGCAGTATTAATGTATTACTAGAACACACCCGCGAAATCGCGGGCATTTAGAGTGTGGTTGAAAGTATGCAAACTGTAGTAGGATGAATTTTTGTAAAAGATTTTATGACTGGAGAATTTCAGGAAAGGTATCAAAAGTCATAGGTACTGCGACAGGACAATATTTTCTAGCCCGCTCCCTTTTTTCCAAAGTCCGTTATTTTTTTGTTTTCTGTTAATTTCAATTATTTTCGCGTTTTCTGTATACTATGAACATACATAATTGTTTATCATAAATAAAGTATATTTGCTATTTACTATCAATTCCAACTTTATCATCCACGGCGGTCACTGATATATTATATAGAGAGTCTCTATATTTTATAGTAGTATGATCATAGTATACATGCAGATAAACGCGAAAATAAGTGTCCTGTCCCCGAGTACTTATGAAAATTATGTGTAATTAAAACAGTCCTAAGCGAAAGTCTTGTCTATGACTTAAAAGTCCGTCCGATGACGGAAACAATATCCGGACGCCTTTATTTTCGTTTTTCTCCCAAAATAACCCAAACTGAATAATCATTAGAATAGATGACAAATGCGACTATGCATGGTACCTATAGATAAAGGCAACAGTAGTATACCGCTGTTCGAAACTCATAAATCGATAGAGATAAAAACAAATCCGGGTTACAAACTAAAACTGAGGGAAACGCATCAAATATAAGAGGAGAACAACGACACAACAAAAACTCAACATTAAAATGTAACACACACTGAAACCAACTATAATATAACAATGGCCATTTTTCCTGACTTGGTACAGGACATTTTAAGAAAAAAATGGTGGGTTGAACCTGGTTTTGTGGCATGCCAAACCTCCCGCTTTAATGGCAACGTCAAACACAACACCAAAACGACAACACCACATGACAGGACCACAATACAAATAAATGAGAGAACATATAGGACAAAGAAACACACGAATAATAGCTAAAAAAATTCAATACGCCAGACGTGCGTCTCGTCCACACAAGACCATCCAGTGACGCTCAGATTTAGGACACAGAGGCATGATGATTAATTTATTGTGGAAGGAAGAGAATCGACACACAAAATGAGGTTTTCTTATTGAATAGTATAGATGACTTTCTGAAATTTCCGTAGTACTATTGGTGTCCAAAATCGCCCATCAGAAGACAAAACAGAAATACTAATTTTGGAGAGACATATGAGCCTGCTGTCTTGAATTTGCCACTTCATCAGACAACACAATTCTGTATCCACACTTGTTATCAACTAACTAAAAACGTAATTACAATTGATTATTTTGTTTAATGTAACCAAGGAAGTTGTAAGTTGCAACAGGTTTGAAAAAAAATATCAAATCACTCAACTAAGGTATATATTTATAGATAGCACGTCCTCTTGATTTACGTGTATACTGAATTTATGTGATACAGACGTACTGTTAGGAGCAAGCAATATGCACACAAAAATGTTTGTATATTTGATGTTCTTCACTTTTGAAATTTCTGCAGGTAAGACATTAGTTTATATTTCTTCATTTCAAATGAACAATTTGTTTGTGAAATATATGTACATAAAATAATCAATGTTTTGATGTGTTCAATCTGAGTTCTTCGTTGGTCAAAATTCAATTATGATGTCAATTTATTATGCTGTAATAAATAAACCAATAGAGAAACAGATTTCACCGAGTATATATATTTATTCTACCACTGCATCTCGTGTAAAACGATATTTTTCTCTCACGACAGTAACATTTCAATATTTAAAATGCTCGGCAAGCCTCGCATTTGTTCAATATGAACATTTAACTGTCTTCGAGAAAAGAAATATTATATCACACTCAATACAGTGGTAGAATCTTTAGTATATCACAAATGTTCATTTGATATATCACAGCACTACCATATGAAAGCATGGTATGAATATTCCAATGTACTTTTGAATGAAATGTCTAAGCCATTTGTTGAAAAATTTATTTTAATGAAATTCAATGATTTCGTGGAATTCGTTCTAGATACCACAAAAACAATTTTTTTCAAACATCGTCAGCTGTTTGTTATAAAAAGATGACAGGTTAATTGCAGTTTTCATAGAGTTTGAAAGAATTTTTGATACTTTTTCATGGCATTGGCTATGAATTACAGTTGGGTGCAGACAAAGCATTACATAAAGTAAACGCACGTTAACGCCGCGTGCACATATTCCGTTAGTTCACTTCAATTTTCGCGTTTACTAGTAAACGCGCGTTTACTATAATTACGTTAACTTGGTCAAAATGGAAATTTCTAATGTCTACTCGAGTAAACGCACGTTTACTCTGTGTCCGTTTAGTCAGTAGTAAACTGGCGTTTACTTCAGATTTCACAAGTTGATTTTTACGTGCACTTAAAAGTAAACGGGCGTTTACTACAGATTTCACAACTGTATTATTACGTGCACTTGAAAGTAAACGCACGTTTACTTTTCGCTTTAACTGATTGTGTATATTAAGAAATAAACTTCGTGTTCATTTGTAATTTAAAGTTTGTTTTAAAAACGACTTTTATCTTAATATTTTACGTATATCTGTTTCAAACCAGAACAATTCAACATCACTTTTAATTCTAAATATTAACTTTTATTAATTACATAAAATCAGTTCCAATAACTTTACTGAGTAGCAGATTTGCTATTTTAAGTTTTAAAAAGTTACATTTACAAAAATCGTGGCGGATATATAGGTTATCCAACACATCGAAAATATTTTTATATGATGGGATATCAACATCATGATTTTCGTTGCTTCGTTCCCCATTTTTAACAGTCTCTTCCATAATACATGGATTTTTAATCGTAATTCACCTTGTTTGCATTGGACATACATGATTTGAGATTCTGTTTTGCCAAATGTTCAATCGAAAATTGTACAGTGTATATATAGGGATATTGATAAGGTGTTGTATAAGTATGTACATTTGTACCATCTCGTCAATTTAGACAGACTTATCCATTACGATTATAAATGATATCGGGGACGTCCGAAAAAATATACTCGTTGAACATGAATAACAAATGTGCCCCTATATAGATTTGCATGATATAGTGCAAATATGGTCAGTT